TCGACTCAAAAACTCTGAAATAAAGCTCGACTTAGCTCGAAAACTTGCAAGCCTAAAATTTTCAAGCTCGACCCGAATTTGAAACCATGAATTGAAACTCAAAAAAACTCGAAATAAAACAAAAAATCTTAAACTTAACCCGATTAAAGCTCAAACTCAAATTCGAACCTGAATCTTTTTTAAAAATCAACACATAAATGTTAATATTATTAATAATTTAATTTTTTTTATAAAAAATAATATATTATTATTTTCTAGTAGTTCGTGAGCTTTTCAAGTCGAGTATGAAGTAGCTCATTTCGAATCGTTAAAAACTCGAGTAGAGTATTTATCGAGCTTTGATCGAGTCAATCTCAAGTAGCTCGTGATTTGACTCGTCTCATTTACAGCCTTACTTAAATGTCTTAGACTCGAGCATCAGAGACTATACAAGATATTTGAGCGTTCATTGTTAAATGATTGAGAGTCTTGAGCGTTCATTGTTAAATAATTGAGAGGTTTTAGAACATATACTAATACTTGTAAGCATCATAAATTAATAAAAAAAAAGTATTTATTTTAATAACAAAAATTTTAAATACCTAAAATAAAAAGAATCTATAATTTTAGCATTTATTCTACAGTACAAAACTTTTAAATCGTGCCTTTCACTTTAATAGTTTAATCACTGTTTAAATCTTTATTAGTTTTAAAATTAATAAAATTAAGTTATAACCTCACCAACTTTTCGATTTAATTATATTTTAGTTCATATCATTTTTTGAAATTAGACAACCTAAACCTTAATCTTCCTTCACTTTTTTTTTTTAAAGTTAAGCACTATGATACCACAGCTTCATCCTAAATTTGTCATTGCATTAAATACACAAACCCTAAAATTTATTGATGGACCCACGTAAAACTTCAACCTCTTGCTCTTTGAAGATGTTGACACTTAAATAAAGTGTTGGAATTTTATATCATTTGATTTAATTTCCATTAAGATAATTAAAAATGACGGGAAACCTAAGTTCACATAAATCTTTGTCTTATCTAAGGTTTATTAGGTTAATTTAAGGTTTATTTGCTAACAATGGATTATTACCAATAGATTAGTTGGGAGTAGAATAGATTCTTTTAATCTTGCTTTACATTATGTTTAGGATAAAGGTGTGGTTAGGCCACTAGAACATAGATAACAACTTTTGAAAATGTGCTCAATTAATATATTAAGAATGAGGAGATTCGTGTTAAGCTGTTGTACAAATCCAAATCTTTGAGCCAAATGCATTTGATTAATTTCCACTTTTTATTAAAAGCAAATATCAAAGATTTATAGGTAAACAAAGATTTGTCGCCTCGGGATAGAGAAAAACAAGGGATTCAAATTATAAAAAAAAATTAGTTAACCCTTATTCCCATATGTAATGGGATAAGGGGAGGTAGGATAGTAGGTTGCCCTCAATGTCAAGTTAAGAGCAGCTTCCGTAAGAGACTTCCGAATTATGAAATGCCTTCCGTGGGACTCGATCCCACGACCCTAAGGTTAAGAACCTTGTATTCTACCAACTGAACTGGATGGTAAAGGTTAAGAACCTTATATTCTACCAACTGAGCTGGATAGTAAAAAGAAGAAAAAGAAGAAAAAGAAGAAGAAGAAAAAGACTCATTTTCCCTATGACCCGGTTCCGTACATTGTATTCGGCTGTTGACTTGCTTTTCCCCCTTCATCCACGAGCAATTTAAGCCCTTGTCCTTATTAAATTTAAGGTAGAGAACGTAAATGATTCACCGTTTATAACATACTATTTTGTTGAATTTCTCGATTGTTAAAAATTATAAAATAATCTTTTAATTATAGGGTGTTGTTTTGTTGAGTCTCTCGACTATTAAAAGTTACAAAATGATAATCTGACTATTCATTATGTTTCAAACTAGTATTTTTTAGTTAAAAAATTAACGGTAATATGAGCTAGATGTTAACATGTTGACTGAAATATGATAGTCGTTTGAGATTATGATGTCAGATTTTATCATATCTCAGTCAACAAGTTATCGTCAGACTCGGACTGTCATCAATCTTTTTAACATAAAAGGATGGGTTTGAAACACAATGAATAGTCAGGAGACCATTTTGTAACTTTTAATATTCGAATGACTCAACAAAGTAACACCCTATAATTAGGGGACCATTTTGTAACTTTTAATAATTGTAAGACTCGATAAAATAGTATGTTATAGTTAGAGGATCATTTTTGTACCTTACCCTAAATTTAAACTCATTAAACAGTTGGATTTGTAAGATATATGTATATTATTAATTATTAAAAAATCATTTACAAATATTATCTTATAATCATATTAGACAATTAAAAAAACTTAATTAAATTTCTTTACGAACAAAATTTAATCTTAGGAAATTCTAAAATATAATTTGTTAATATAGGACTAAAAATGACAGAAATCAATTACGACTGAAAATCTTATTAAGAGAGTAACTTTTTAGAAAGTACAAAATAACTTTTTAGGATGTATAGAGTAACTTTTTATGTTGGACAGTTTACAATCAAAAATATTACATTGTTTATAATATTTTTAGTTGTAAAATTTAAATCTCGTAATATAATTTTTTTATTACAATTGAAAATATTATAATTTATATAACTTTTTAAATTAAATATAATAATATTTTACGTTAAAACTGTCTTACATTAAATTCACTCATCTCAAAACTACCCTTTAATCTTTATTTTGATAAATAATAATTTACGCATATATTTTTCTTCTCTAATTCATGGGTGCAGAATAATTTATTTTTTATTTTGATTTATTTGAATTTAAATTATAAATATAATTTTAATCAGTGCTATTTAACATTGATTAAAGCGGCAATTATGTCTTAACACATCAGAATTGATTAGTTTTGCTTAACAAAAAAAAATTGTTTCCTTTTACATCAATACATTAAAAAAACATATAATAAGTTAATATGAGGAGTATAACTATGTAAAATTCCTAATAATTATATTATTATTTAATATACATTCTCCATATATAGCCATTAATATGTTTTCCTCGCAATAAAATGCATTATAAATATTAGGATAAACTATCTATATAAAAAAAAATTAGCTGATTATATTTCCATATGTAATGCGGTGAGAGGGGTGTAAGATAGTAGGCTGCCCCCAACGCCAGGTTGAGAGCAGCTTCCGTAGAATACATTCAGCAGTCAAAATTATGAATTGCCCACCATGGGACTCGATCCTACAACCACAAGGTTAAGAGTCTTGTAATCTACCAACTGAGCTGGACGGGCAATTGGATCTCTTGAATATAAAATATTATAAATTAGTTACTCAAGTTATATGAGGTTATAAAATGGTCACCAAATGTTAACTTTTAGAAGAAAAAAAATAATGTAATGATTAATAATATTGACACAACAATAAATTTAATCTTTAATCTTTATTCATTGTTATAATTTTATTTTAATTTTAAACATTTAGCCTTTAGGGTGCGTTTGGTTCACGGAATGTAAGATTATCAGTGGGAATAAAAGATTATAGGGGAATAGAATTACTTGGAATGTTGTACTTTGTGTTTGGTTGATTTAACATGAATGTAAGATTACCGTGTTTAGTTAAAGGAATAAAAGATTATTGGAATGTATATTTGACCAAATTGTCCTTATTATATATTTGTTTTTTTAACAAGTTGGAAAATATTTATATATTTTCTTTAAAAAATTTAAATTCATAAAATTTATATAATTTTTTTTACAAAATTGAAAAGATAAATAGATTTAATGAAATGATAAAATTTTATTTTAACCTCTGAACTTCATATAAAATTTTAATTATAGATTTTTTTTTTGTAAATCTAAAATACTTTAAGGATAAATTTGTTGGATAACATTCGTAGAATTTTTATTATTCAACGACAGAAGAATGATATTTTTGAAAAAAAAAAATAAAAATTTAAGGGCATTTTTGTCCAAAACGCTGGTAATTCAACAATACCTAAGGGAAGGGGTAATCACATTCCTGGTAATATACCCAAAAAAATCCACTGTTAGTAATAAAAGATTATCACGAATAGAATTATTGACCAACCAAACGGGGAATGAGGATTCTATTTCCCCGATAATCCCTTATGCCGTGAACCAAACATCCCCTTAATACTTAAATAATATACCCATCTAATTCATATTATAACATGTTTTCTATTTTTTTCTTCCTTTGTCATTCAATCTTCACACCGTTGTTTGCCACCACCGAGTGGCAGATACAGTTGTAAATTGAAGATTTAATTTTTTTATTAGTTATCTATTTTATTGATTGTGTTCATCCTATAATTTGATTTTTTAAAATAAATTTTATGTTGTGAATATATATATATATGTTTCTATCTCAAAAAATATTTTTGAATATGTCATTACCGTTGCCATTACCCCTTTTGATTTACTCCACGAGCCTTAAATGATAATTTGAATGATTAATTTCTAATTTTTTATACTCAAATGACTACATTAAAAATAACATGTAATCAAAAGATTGTGTGCATAATTTACCCTAAATAATACTCGTTTTCTAAATTGGAGGTGTTATAAACAATTAAATAAAAATTCTGAACAAGAAAAACAAAAATGGAATATAAAAAGGAAAAAAAAATCAAAGACAGCTCGTCCCTGAGCTCAGCTTAGCCTTTAGCTTGAGAGTTGAGCCTCAGAATCTGTCCTTTTTAAAAAAAAAAAAATATACACTCTCCAACACCACTCTCAGTTTCTCTCTGCCTTTCTAATTCCAGCAAATCCAATCGTTCAGTTTATATATTTATTCGGAAATTAAAACAAATTAGCTACATAATTACTATTATTCTTGCCCAAAATCCCAGAAATTCATGTTATTTCTTACTTGTTATACAAATACCTGTTTACTTCTCTTATCCCATTAATCATCAATATTCTCAACCTTCTTGTTCCTACTAAGTTCATCTTCTTTTCGGCTTTTGAAAGTTGAAAGACTCACTTTTTGATGGATGGAATGCACGGTTTCAATTCCACCACGGGAGAGTACGCTGACAAGGCGTTGATGTCACCGGAAAACCTGATCCTTCCATCGGATTACGATGCTTGGCTTTGCTCTTCGGGTCGGAGTCCGATGTTTGGATTCGACGAGTTATTCTCCGCCGCCTCTGCCATATCCGAAGCTGCTTCCATCACCCCTGAAATTCGACGAGAAGAGGACATCTCATGCGTCATCAAAGCCAAAATCGTTTCTCACCCTTATTACCATCGTTTGCTTCAAGCTTATATTGATTGCCAGAAGGTGGAAAAAATAAATGAACACACCGAATTCAAAGCCGTTTATCTTTTCTATTTATGGTGCAAACAAAACCAGTGAAATGATGTGGCTTTTACAGAAAATTTTAAAGACTGTTTTTCCCCCTTTTCCTCTTTACCGTCATTAAATAAGATGTTTATATAACTGTGTAGATGATATGTGCAGGAACACTTCAACATAAGTTTTTTTCTTTAAAAAATAAAGGAGAAAGCTTTCGCTACAGTTGTTTTGTTAGTTAGTTGAGTTTCAATTTTCCGCCTTAAATGAGGGTTTACTTTGGTATTCTTAAAGGTTGACGCCAAAGGTTTTACCATATACTTCGTACCCTTTCGTTTCCAAGATCGTACCCTTTCGTTTCCAAGATCCAACCCTTTTTCTTTCTCCATCAATTCCCATGATTTTATGGGAAATATCTGATGTAATTCATGACATACACATCAAGTGTTTGTTGAAAATTTCATGACAAGTTGTTTGGGTTTTTTCTACTCTAGGTTGGAGCAACACCGGAGATAGCGAGTATATTAGATGAAATTCTAAGAGAGAACGATGTTAACAGGCGGGAAATCGTGCCAACCTGCTTGGGAGCCGATCCTGAGCTGGACGAGTTCATGGTCTCATCTTTCTTTTTCCAGCACTTTCTTTGCTTTTTCTATTTTCGTTATATACATTTATATAATTCGATGGCTGTCTTTCCTTTATGTGTGTGTGTTTGTTCAGGAAACTTACTGCGATATGTTAGTGAAATTCAAATCCGATCTCTCAAGGCCATTTGATGAAGCAACTACGTTTCTAAACAAGATTGAAATGCAGCTTCGAAATCTCTGCACCGGTGCTTCCATTAGAGCTCATTCTGGTAAGTCCATCTCTCTCTCTCTCTCTCTTCCAATGTCTGAAATATATATATAAATTCCTTTATATTCTTTGTTTAATTTTTCCGTGTTCTTGGTTTCTGCGCTCTTCCAAAATCTGGCAATATCTGCTCCACCTACCGAAGAAATTTTAACCCCAAAACAACGAAACAAGCTAAAAATCAATCTATATAAAATTTCCAACGAAATCATCTCTGCGAGTAGCAGGCGAAACTCGAGTGTGTAGGTTTCCGGTGCATATGATAACAACAGGCATGGAAACCCCACAGGAGAGCGACAACCATTCCTTTCCTAGTCATAAATCATAGATATCAGCTATCATTTTCTGCAAAAGAACCCACTAATGGAGGCCACAACAGTTTTCAAGAGAACAAATTCAAAGTTTCGAGTATTTCAGCACTCAGTAATAATACTAACCACTAACAGACAACGGAAAACCCTAGAGATGAAATAGAACCGTGTCCCTTGCCCTTGGTTTACTTTCCATCATTCCTTTCTAAACCATTCCCCTTGTGTTTATAATCTGATTTTTTTTTCTTTTCCAACAATGTTGTGGTGGCGATGACTTCATGGTTTTCTTCAATTTTGATCTGTATTGTCCAAAACGAATGATAATATGAATGATCCGGGCGATTGCATCTGCCTGCTGATAATCTTTTTTTGTCATTTCTCTGCCTGAAATGTTAACACCTTTTGTGTTTTTGAGAGATTCTGAAATGACGTTTCGGGGGTTCAGTGATGCCATGCGCAATAGTTGCTTGGCTTGATGGTCCGAACATAATGATGTCTTATCAACAGTTTTTTTGTTTTTTGTTTTTGCAATGCCTTAGATGATGGAAATACATACGTATAGAGTACAAAAGCCCTTTGCTTTGAGTTGATTGAACGTTCGGACTAAAGAGTTTCTTTCTCTCCTGTTAAGAAGTATATTATCCGGATTAACCTTGTTTTGTTCTCAAAGTTATCTGTTTTGGTCTGATGTAATATACGCGGATTTGGTTCAATGAGATCTGTCTCCATTTGCCTACTAATTACAATTGCATGCTCCTTTTGATTGAGAATTTGAGTCCACAAGATTCACCAGTAATGAGCTAACCTTCTTGAAATTTGATCATAGCAATCTAGTTAACCAAAAGTTCTTATTTAAAAACGTGCCACTATACTTCTTTTATTAAGTTTATTGGTCAAATAAAAAAAATATAATCTGTCTAAGCACACTAATTGATTATGAGGATCACTTGATTTATCCTATCGTGTTCTGAATACCGTACTGTGGTCCTGGTGCATGCTGTACCTTATCTGTTATCAACACAATCTTTTTATTATAAGGTTACATGGAAGTCAATCAAACCCATCATTCGTGGAATAAAAAAGATATGAGATCCTTACCTATATAGAACTTTTCTCTTTGGTTATGTTGACTATCGAGTTTTCTATTCTCTTGTTAGTTTGTGTAAATATAAAATTAGCTGTGGAAGGGGCATTGGTGTTGTTTGGACCGATGATAGTGTTGTAGTAGTTGGTGTAACACAGATGAGCATTAATGTATAAGGTGCTATGATATTGTTAATCATGAATTTTTGGTAGGATTGAATATAGATGGTTGAGTTCTGGGGTCTAAACGAATTATTTTTTGGTTAAAAAGTTCATATTTATACCTGAATTTAAGAAGGAAAAAGAAGAAAACAAATACTGATAAAAGCAAGAAAGATCAAGTTAAATTTTTGTACACTGCATCAAGAAAGAAAGCATTTTTTGATGTAGCTATGTCTTGGTAGTTTAACAATAGTAATCCAATAGCATTTGCTTCATCTTATTACATAGTTTTCAAAGTTATGAGGGTCATTGCATGTGCCTTTGATTATTATATTTGTGTTGAACACGTGTGGATGAGAAATAGCATTGAATAAAGCTTATTATTCATATTCCGTGTATTATATATTGCATGCTTTTGATCCACTTCTTTAAAAATAAGATCTTTTGCCATAGTTTAGTGGAATGATAATGGTCTTTAATGATGTCCAGTCTGGTCTTTTGAATGAGTATCAAGTTCCAATGGAGCATTAGTTATTATGCATATGGATAGTGGAAAGTGTAGAACTTGAGGAATTGTCTACTTTGAGACTGGCTGGAATGTTGCTGAAGTAATATATATTTTTCGACATCTATATCTTCTTGAAAGTTGTTATGGATCGCCGAATTCTGAAAATATGTAAAGTTAATATAGTTAACTTTTTTATGCTTGAAAATTGTCAGTCAACCATTGATTTGCATAAGATTTTTCTGAGATCACGTGAGTGTTGATCATGCTGACTTTACGAAAAGGACTAGAACTGAGGTTTATGACTTGCAACCATCTTTTGTTTCTTCCCTATCTATTATTTTACTGTATATTGAGGTTGCTTTTTTGTCATTATGGCTGGAAACTGGATATGCTTGTACAAAAATTCAGTTATTGAATTTACTTTTTCTTTAATAAATCCTTTCTTTATGGAGTTGGGCTTAGAAATCTTAGGAATCCATCATGAGAAAAGCTGTCGACGTTTCCATTTGCACGGGGGGCAGGTGTTGGCTTGTGCAATCGGCATGTTTGTAGCAACCTTAGATGTTATATACATACTTTGAAAGAGAGATGACATTGTCTACTAAATTATATATTTGTTAAAGAATGGAAGTTGACAAAGGTTTTAAATCACTGCATTCTCAGGTTGTGAATAGTTGGCAACTATAATTGTTAATTGTTTCAAAATACAATTTACCTTTTTGATGATGCTCTCATCATTCTCTTTAATCACTTCATTGCCTTTTTCCCCCCCTTTGGTTTTGGTTGTTTGTGCTCGCTACTTTGCCAGAACTGTATTAACTTACCCATCCTTAGGTTGAAAAAGAAAAAAAATATGTAAAGAGCTAAGACATGTATCTATTGTAGTGTTGTCTTCAATAGGGATCGATTTGAGGATTCTGTTTGTATAAATTCACATGCTTTGTTTGTGTCTAAATGAATAGCTGCCGTGGCTTCTGCCATGCTGTAGGATATGCTATCTGCCTATGTGAAATTATATGTTGTTTGTAACGTTTTCCTTATTTATATAATTATCTTCCACTTAAGGACAGCTTTTATCCAAATTAACAGAATGATCTTCCAAATGAACACACTCATGTATATTACTGCAATAATCTGAAATATGGTAGATTTAATCTCTGTGGTTCCTTTTTCTTGTGAAATTCTTACTGTGCATCTTGTGAAGTGCTTGTGGTTCAAACTTTAGACATCATTCTGATTAGACAAATGCATAACATTTTTAAGCATTCTGCTTTAAAGCTTTTATATGAGAGCAGCACAATTAGTCCGTGATATATATATATATATATATATATATATATATATATATATGTATATGCCATTTTTAAGCAGACCATTATCGCAGCTACTCAATGTTAGGTCATTAGTAGCATCTGCTCAAGGTAAAGTGTTTAGCGTCAACCATAATGATTCTTGTATTCATTATTTTTTAAATATACCTAAGAAAATAAGAGATTGAAAGGAAGACTATAATGAAAAAGCTTTCTTTCTGTTAAGTGAATCAAACTAACATCTTTTTTGCAATATAATCCTTTTTGAAGTGTTTATGTTAAAATTTCAGCCATTACAGAATTTATATTATCAATATCTTTATAAACTAGGTTTATTCTTCAGACTTGGTTTTCAACATGTTGTTTTCTTGGTGTCAAGCCTGCATATAGTACATCAGTGTCTCTCTATGTTGAAATATGGTCACTTTGCAGTTAATTTAACTCCATGAATGCAATGCTATATGATAATATTTCCAGTTCCTATCATATTCAATATCTTTGATCATTTTGTTCTTTTGTTCTGAGATTAAATCAAGTGACTCATGCACACAAATGTGAAGTTGGTTCATCAAAGAGAATGATGAAAGAAGACGGACACTATAATGGAGCTTCTTTCCATGGTTATATAAATATATGTTTATTTATTCTAGGAATAGTAAGTTGAGATTTGCAAAGCACATGGTTGATGGTTACAAGAAATATTATTGTCTGTACTTCAAGTGTTGAATGTTCAATGGCTATTAGATCCTGAAGGCATAGTTGTCTGTTCTTCGTAGGGGAATCCGCAAAGTACATAATGGTTAGTTCATCTACATCTGTTATAGGGGTCCAATCGAAATCAGGTTTACTTTGAAAAGGAAATAGAAAACCAATTTGGTTATAGGAAAAAGCCATGGATTTGATTCTACTGGTCGGAGTTATCACATGGACCCCCGTAGATTTCGCTGAGATCCCATCAAACTTTTTGAAAAAAATGATTCATTCAATTGTTGAATGCTCTCTTATCTTCCTCTCTGCTGGCTCTGGTTCGGTGCTTGTCATATCCAGTGACCATTGTTGTTTCCTTGGTGGATCTCTCTCTCCCATGGTAGTCTCTTTCTCTGCATTCATTACCATGCAACACTCGTGTCTGCATGATATTATCAGGCCCCATTCTTTCCCTTATTTTGTTAGACATTTTCCCTTGAACCCACATCTCCTCCATGCTTTTTCTCTCACAACTTGTGGTACTGATTTCCATCTTAAACATCTAAACAATCCATCAAATGAAAATATATCCAATCGTTACTCTCAAAAGGGTATTTAAAAATGTATCCTTTTTAAAAAACTGATAAATGAAAATAGAAAAAAAAATAGACCAACATTGGTGGCTGATATGGGAGAGACCTTCAATAATTGGGGGCCCGTAGCTCTCGGGGGTTTCTTTAACCTTCTGAAAGAAAGGGGGTTTGTTTACCTTGTTACCATCTCTTTCTATCTCCTTGACTTTTCTGGCAAATGTATTATTTGACATGATGGCCGTACTGACAGTCCACTAGGACTCCTAGTGTGACTGACAATGGACATAACCAGACATCTTTTCTTTGCCCAAATCGTCACGTCTTTGCGCTTTGGGTCACCCTGTTTGCTAATGCTCACTGTGCACTGTATGTAAATCCTGCAGTTGCTCAGTCTGCTCTCTAAAACTCTTTGAACTACACGATCATCGCATAATTTTATTGAAAATCTGTCGCATATATTTATGTCAACTTTATTACTACTAGTTTTTATAATTAAGCCGTATAACTTTCAGCCATATTGCTTAAGCTGGCTGCTTGGTTAGCTCCATTCACTTTCAACCACATAAATTTATATCATCTGCTTCAATCTTAAAGTGCAGAAAAATGCATTTTGTAGTATAAAATAAAATAAAATTCTTAAAAGATTTGTATTTCTTGGTACATGGAATCCTATTCCTAGCGTGGAATGATTTTTTTTTATATTTTTTGTGTGATAGTGGTGTTTCTGGTGGGGGATGCAAATCTTGTTATGGCAATTCTTTCCATACATACACGTTTTTTTTTGGCAATTTGATTGGTTATTGTTTATTCTTAAATCTTGAAACAAAAGGATTGGACTTTGATGTTTGTGTGTGATTTCTTTTTGATTGGCAGATGAAGGTGGGGCATCATCGGATGAAGATGGTAGTGGTGAGGAAGTAGAAGTGCACGTAGGGCAGTCGAGAAGCGAAGACCGAGGACTGAAAGATAGGCTGCTCCAGAGATTCGGCAGTCATATTAGCAGCTTGAAGTTGGAGTTCTTGAAGAAGAAGAAGAAGAAAGGGAAACTACCGAGGGAAGCACGGCAAATGTTGCTCGAATGGTGGAATGTTCACTACAAATGGCCATATCCAACGGTAATTTCTTCCAAATTCGCTTATGTTATAGCGGCATTGAATCATAAACCATAGCCGTATTGAATGGACACGATTAGTATGGTTTAGGGTGGTTATGATATAACATTTTGGTTAATGAAATCATTCAGGAAGCTGATAAGATAGCATTGGCTGTATCAACCGGACTAGACCAAAAGCAAATCAATAACTGGTTTATAAACCAAAGAAAGCGGCACTGGAAACCATCAGAGAGCATGCAATTCGCGGTGATGGATAACCTGTCGGGACAATTCTTTTCCGAGGAGGACTGAGGTGAACCGGGAAATGGCATTCACAAGTCAAATGTATATCCCCAGATCAGTAGTTGATTATAGTTTTAAAAGTAAGTAGCTTTGTTTTGCATATGCCTTGAAGGCCATGTATATTTTGAATGCAAAATGTATCGTGGACTTCACTCAAAATTTCACTTTATCCCTAAGTACTGACTATTTGGATTATCTATGTGTGTTTATCTTCTTAATTAAAAATTATGTTCAAATTTGGTTTATATTTTAGTTTATTTATCTTCTATCTTGTGCCTAATCAGATGATAGCATAATTGGAAAATCATCCGTTTTTATTATCTTTCTTTGTAAATATTAAGGCTTACTTTTCCTTTAAATAGGTTTAATGAGATTTTTTAATGAGATTCATGGGATGGGGTGTGGTGGTATACCTTGTATATTTCCAATACAAAGTACTCATTTTACAAAAAAAAAATATTAAGGCTTACTTTTTAAGGCTTCAGCCTTTATTAAATTAATCATTTTAGTTTATTTTTGTGGGAGTATTTTGTTGTCTCATTGTTTTATTTTGGGTTAAAAAGGTTAAAAATCGTTGGTTAATATACGAGTAACGTTTCTAAATAGGGAATTTGTATACAAATAATCAATTTATTTATAGTTATTTAATTTTATAGAGTAGACACAAAATTAAGAAATTTATATACAAATCATCAATTTATTTATGATTACTCAATTTTTATATAAATTAAGGGATTTGTATGCTTTATAAAATATCTTTGAGGAAATAGGTGGTTGAGGGAGAGCATTTTGATTCTTGCAGTTTCAACTACCACGGTTGTTATAATCTTCAGTTTATTTTATTTATTCCATAAACATTTTAATTTTTAAATATTTAAATTAAAACTTATAATAAATCAAAATTAATTTTAATTAAGAATTAAAGTAAATTAATTATAATAAATTAATTTTATATCATTAAATATTTTCACATTGTTCAATTTTAATTCTATTAAAATTATGGTGATTTTATCATATTAGAATATATATAAAACTTATTTAATTTTTAGTTTAATTTTAAATTTCTTAAGCTATATATTGATTTATTCATTTAAAATTTTATTTTAGACTCATTTAAATGATAATACAAATTTACTAAACTAATTCTTAAACCTATCAATTATTGAGAAAACATTATTATTAATTTATTATAATCTATATCTCAAAAATAATTTATTCAATTGTTCATAATGTATCATTCATGTTACATTAAGCGAGCAAGAGATTATTGAAATTATATCAATCATCAACTTATACCTTGAGATGCACCAATTATTGATATATCAAAGCATGCATCAAGTCATACACATGTAGTTTTATATTTATTTAATATTAAACGATAGAATAGTCCTAACATGAATTAGTTATTGAAGATAATTCAATAAACTCGTATAGATTATCAACTAATATAAATCGTCTTCACATCATAAATAATCTTATGAATGTAATTTATAACTTAATTAAATCTTCAAGTAATTAACGAGTTAATATTTTCGTTCACTTGTTATTTTACATGGCATATTAACTATAATTACTTTAGTTAATGTTAATATTAATTACCGTTGAGCCCAAATATTTCAGTTCACCGCTACCTATTAGCTAGTTGCTGCTTCTCATTGCTTTCTACAATCATTGATAATTTTAGGGTATTCCAGAGCCAGCTGAATGTTCCACTCGTGGCCCGTTGCCCTGTGGTTGGGCAAACATATAACCCTCAAGCTCAACTTCAACAGCCTGCTCAAAGCATTAGCTGTTCCCACGAGCAGACCCAATGCAAATTGCAAATCCATTAGACCTTTCCCCCCAAGCATGTTTATATACAGTAAAAATTTGTTAAACATTAACTTGATGGGTCCATTCTTGATACAGGGCCTTCTCAACATGGGTTCAGGTGGTGCACTGGTGCAGAGGCAGCCACTATTCATTTCTTACGCAACACTTATGTCTCTCTCTTCATGTAAACTCCTACCTACAGTGCACTAATTTTGCCTTTATCTCTCACTTTACGAGCAAAGGTGCAGGCCAACCCCCAAATATTGCAGGTTATTCTCTCATCTGTTTTTTTTTTCTGCTAGTCGTGTGCTTTCATTTTCCTTTTTATCCTCAACCTTTTGTGAATGGTTTCGGCAGCCTATGCTTCAAAAGTTGGGGAAGGGAAACCCTCATCTAATGAGACTTGTTCAAGAGCATCAGGCTGATTGTCTCCGCTTGATCAATGAACCTGCAGAAGGTGGAGAGGGGTATGTCCTATAACAGTGGTAGAATTGCATTCACTATTGGGTTATGTTCCATCGTTATGCATGTTTGCTTTGGAACACGATTACGTTTAGGTCATATTCATAATGTTCGGTTTGTAATGGCAGGAAATTTGCAGTACCAAGTAATCATGTACTGTACAAACAAACTCTTAAGCTGCCAATTAATTTTGTAAGGCATTCATTTGTGCTGCAACTACGAGTATGTTTGTAAGACATTCATTTACTCAAAACTTTGGGTTTAAAGGTCATCAGCGATGACCGTCGGAAATGATCAGCGAGATGGTGAGTGATGGCTAGCAAAGGAGATTTTAGTCAAATTCATTAGTTAAATTAATATTTTATCTAATGTTCAGAGGTCAAATTAGTATTTTATTTAAAGCTCACGCAATAGTTTTTGTTTGAATCTTTAATCATTTTCTTACATGGTTTTTTTATTTTAATTTTTAAGTGACTTTTTTAATTGTGAACTAATATCCGACTTGTGTGACTAGTTAACTTTTGCTTTTACAGACTCTTGTAATTTTAAATATTTTGTTTTTATTTTAGAATGAAGCCGCACGTTATCATGCACACATACAACATTTTTCAAGCTATGAGAATGAAGCACTTTAAACCTTGCATGAAACCTCACTGTCATGAGAAACTCCATGTTTGAAAATATCAATCCCTTGAACTCATGCAGAGGGAACAATTAGTCCAATCCGATAGCAAAAGCATATACGAAGAATCTCCGGTGATGGCGAAGGATAGTCATCAGCGGATCTACATGGGGTTAAGGGTTTTATCTGCTATTAATTTAAAATTTTCTTGTTAGTGATATATTTTATAAATTGTGTTCACACTAAAATTTTGTTTGTGCCTATCCATAAATAAAAAAAATTATGTTGTTAATATATGTATGCTCACCCTAAAAAATATTTTTAGACCCGTCACTAAACATAATAACTAGAAGAACTCTTTCGATGTTATGTTCAATGTCATGTTTTAAATTTTTTTCTCATGTTATTGGGCTTGTAAGTAGTTGTAGTGATAACCTTAGAATGAATTAATCTTGTAAGATTGTACCGACTTGATATGATTTGATATAATCCGATTCTTAATCCAAACAAACTCCCACTGCACTTCTTAGATCTATTGGGCCTAATAGATCTCTTAAAAGATTTCATTTGTCCGAAAATTTCGTAGAGACCTCTACATATTTATTCCCATGTTGGCCTAAATCAAGATTTTGTGAAACATGTGAGAGGCTTAGATCAAGCTGCATGTGCAAAGTAATATTTACATGAAGTGGATAAAGTACTACTAAGGATAACAATTGGGTTACGGAAGTTATAGACGATTTAATTTTTTTATTTTAATGGATAATCATGATCGGTGTGATTAATAGTGGAGTTCCATACAATTAACGTCACATGATTTTTTTTAAGATTTTGAGTAGTAGAAGTAGAAGAAGTTTCCTTTAATCTTAGTTGAATCCTGAGGGTTTTACAATGATTTTTTTTTATGTTAGTGTCAGATTTAAGATCACGATGACTACTTGTAGACTGATAGGTTGAATGGTTACATGACAATAAATTGAGTTCTAGTGAATCATATAGACTTTCCTTTAATCATGTTAAGATTCTTGCTAAAAGAATGATTGGTCGGGGATATGAGATTCTTGAATCTATGATCGACAGAGGGAAACCCTTCGGAGGATTCTTCTTGTTTCGAGAACTTCAATTTTTGACAAAATTATTTGTGGAGAAGGTATAACGAGCATGATTAAATGTCATTATGTACTTAATTACCCACCATCATCATAATGGTCCATGAGATGATGACTTAAGCAAGCCAGCAGCATGTCTGTTTGTAAACCCCATTTCGAGGGTTTTATTACAACCTTGGTTTAGCTTTACGGTAAACCAGACATGCATGTTGTCTATCTCAGACAAAATCATTGCTCAACATCGATGTGTCATATGCTTCAAAGCCTTTTTTCCCCATCCCCTCGTTTTCCACCATTTCAAGAGCCCTTTAGGGGGTATTTTAAAAGTGATATATCCTACACAGAAATATATAGTAGAAATTGGGGATACATTGGTTTTTGAATTGATGATTTAACATCATGAGCTTTAAACCACTACCACTCTTCCTCATGATTCTATTCACTTCTTTTCATGCGCTAGTCCAAGTGGAATTCACTTTATTGTTATTTTTTATTCCACTTTTTAACTATTATTCTAAACATCCATTTCTCTTAAATGCTATTCTACTATATATTCTTCTTCCTCGTGGATTTAATGGATTGATTATGCCAAGAATGAGGGGAAATTTTATAATTATATAAAAAACATTTAAGGCTTGTAATTGAGTGTATTTGAATAACTATCATAATTTACGAGTCTAGTTATATTAAGTGTAGTTGGAGACTTCTAATACTATTCTTTAATTCTTAGAAAGATAGGTAAAAATCGATATAGGTTTAATTTTATAATTAATATTCTTTTAAAATTAAATTTATATAATTTTGTAATTATAATTTATAATGTTAAACCTTAATTACACTCCATTATTCAAATAAAACATGGTGAAGTCACAGCAAACTTAATTTTTAGTTTTCATTTGACACTAATTCAAAGTTTGATATTGGTCTCTTTGACTCATTTAAACATTTTAGGATTTTTTAAATATTTTCATATTGAAAATTTGATATAAAAACATTTCAAAATTATATAATTTGGCTGTCTATCAACATAAAATTCTTGGTTTCACATTGCCAAAAGAATTTTTATTCTTTTGTTGAAGACCTTATGTTATGGTGTTGAAGTGGGATGGAATATATAATAATGTCAAAGTTTGCAAAGGCATACTTTAAGACTTGAT